GAATATAACATTTTAACCATCATATTGTGTTTGACAATTTTCTTTTTAAGGTTATTTTTAAATAATGAAATAAAATTGGCTGGGCATGGTGGCTCACACCTGTAATCCTAGCACTCTGGGAGGCTAAGGTGGGTGGATTGCCTGAGCTCAGGAATTTGAGACCAGCCTGAGCAAGAGCAAGAGCAAGAACAAGAGCCAAGAGCCCGTCTCTACTAAAAATTAGCTGGGCATTGTGGTGGGTGCCTGCAGTCCCAGCTACTCAGGAGGCTGAGGCAAGAGGATCACCTGTGCCCAAGAGTTTGAGGCTGCTGTGAGCTACGATGCCACAGTACTCGACCCAGGGCAGCAGAGTGAGATTCTGATTCAAAAAAGAAAAAGGCAAAGGAAAAGAAAAAGAAGAAAAAGAATAAAATTACCTAGATGGAAACAAGCATTTCCTCCCACAGTAAAATAAATGAGTTTTGATTTCTCCTTCAAAAGAAAAATTACTCACAGTTGACTATAACCTCCTTAAGGGCAAAGAGACCATGTTTACCTTACTGTTATATCCTTTGTACTAAGAAAAATGCAAGGTACATGTTACCTTTGTTGAATGAATAAAGCTACTTTAAAAATTTAATTCCCTCAGTATTTATATCTAGTACTATAAAGATATTTTAAAAACTCAGTAAGTATTTTTACTAAAGTAATATAGAACTAAGATATTTTAAAAACCCATTATGTTTCTACAAGGTGATTTTTACTAATCCACATGTAGAATCAGAACTATATATATATTTTTTGGCTGGGGCTGGGTTTGAACTCACCACCTCCCGCATATGGGACTGGTGCCCTACCCTTTTGAGCCACGGGCGCCGCCCCAGAACTATAATATTAACTCGTTAAAGTTGTACAATAAGCAACCAGGGCAAAGGATACATCATTTCTAAGTATGTATGTTATATACACATTTAAGTAGTGTGTCTGCTCACTTTTTTTTTTTTTTTGTAGAGACAAAGTCTCACTCTATTGCCCTGGGTAGAGTGCCGTGATGTCACAGCTCACAGCAACCTCGAGCTCTTGGGCATAGGTGATTTGCTTGTCTCAGCCTCCTGAATAGCTGGGACTAGAGGCACCCCCCACAATGCCCAGCTATTTTTTATTGCAGTTTGGCCGGGGTCAGGTCTGAACCCACCACCCTCGGGTATATGGGACCAGCGCCCTACTCACTAAGCCACAGGTGCTGCCCTATTTTCTCTCTTTTAGTCTATTATATACTATTATATATTCGACAAGCAATGATTTCTGCTAACCTTTTTGGATCACTGCGGGTTTTTTCTTTTACTCAAGCCAATCCTGAGACCAAATTCTATGTTTATTCTCTATTGCATTAAAAATTAAAATAACCTAAAACAGGGTACATCCTATTTTTTAAAAACTAAATTAAGCCTTTTAAAATCTTAAATTCTTCACTGTTTAGTAAAACAATAAAATTATATGCAATCTTTTCTGAATAATTTTAGAGAATGAAAATACTTCAAAGTGCAAACACAAATAATATACTTTTCAGGGATTTATAACTTATTGAGAAATCAAATTTCTCTGACATTAAATGTACTTAATAAATGTTTATTGAATTGATTTTTCTAACATGTAAGCTTCACCTACCTTGAGCATACAAAGTCAGAACTGCCTGGATGGCTACATACACACCCGAAAACTGGTAAGTTTCAAACATGACCTAAAAATACAGATAAGATGGGAAAAAAACTGGTATTCAGAATGTTACATAATAAATATCCATATGCTTTTTTCATGGTCACAGAGCAGATTGCAATAGTTGCCTGAAACAGAATCAAAGGGAAATGAAAGAGTTCTCCATTCTTATCAGCTCCTTTTGCCTTGATTAAAGTCCTGTTGCCACAGAGCTCCATTTCTGAGGACAGATTTTTGGATATATACTAAGCCCCCAAACACTACATAAGTGCTCTAAAGCAAAGATTTCTGAGTGTATTAGTGGTTAATTAGTGTGAAAAAAAGCTTTCTGCATTTTACAAGTCTTTCTTAATTGACATCCCTTAAAAGAAATATCTTTTAATTCAAAAACAAACTATAGAAACTGTTTAATTACTGAGCCTTCCAACTGCTCTCTTCCAATCTTGGTTCAGACAATGGCTCTACCTCCAACAGTTAACAAAAAATAAAAAGTGGCCAGGTGCTATGGCTCATGTTGGTAATCCTAGCACTCTGGGAAGCCGAGGTGGATGGACTGCTTGAGCTCAGGAGTTCCAAACCAGACTGAGGAAGAGCGAAACCCTGTCTCTACTAAAAATAGAAAAATTAGGCTCGGTCCCCATAGCTCAGTGGTTAGGGTGCTGGCCACATACACCAGTGCTGGCAGGTTCAAGCCAGGCCCAGGCCTGCTAAACAACAACAACAAAAATATTTGGGCACTGTGGCAGACGCCTGTAGTCCCAGCTACTTGGGAGGCTGAGGCAAAAGAATTACTTAAGCCCAAGAGTTTGAGGTTGCTGTGAGCTATGATGCTATGGCACTCTACCAAGGGTAACAAAGTGAGCCTCTGTCTCAAAAAAAAAGAAAGTAAAATGGGATGGCAAATACAAAAATTAATAATTGTTGGCAGATACAGAAAGCAACCCTATTAGAGTCATGGCTGTAACTCTATTCCTCGCTGAACTACCCTGCAATGAGGAGTTTCTTTGTGCCTTCACTGGTCAAACCCATGCTCATTCTCTGTAACCCAGGTAGGCTGGGAACATCCTACATGATGTTTTTTTGGTGATTTGTAGGGAGCACTCTGCATTCCTTGATTGATAGGGTTGTCTATTACTCTGAATATCTAAATATTAAGAAATATTACAATTGGCCACAATGAGAATTATACAGAATTCAAGTTTTACAACTCTGAAACACATACTAATCAATTAAGCAATTAATTAATAGACATTCTGCCTAGTATTCCATCATCCTTTCTTCCTCTCCACAGGTAAAAAAAATGGAAGAATGATAAAATATATGCATATACCAAATTAAAAGTCTGCTGAAATTAAAGTAGGACATTACCAGTCAAGTCAAATTTGCCCTCACATGTAAATAAGAGTATTAAAATAGGAACCATAAGAAATGACATGGATTCTGCAACTAAAATCATGGCCTCAAATTTTCAAAACACAATACAAAAACTGATTTTTAATGTAGACTTTAACAAAAATAGTGTCTTCACCCAACTGATGTACTGCACAGACACATGGTACTTGACCTGGGTGTGGAGCACACCTACAAATCAGACTTTAGCCTTATAAATGCAAACTATGGAATCTAACTATATGTACTCTCATATTAATCTGAAATAAAACACACACACACGCACACACACACACATATAGTCTAACAACCTTACCTATAATAAAATGAAAGAGAATCTTTAAAAAATTACTTATCTAAACTATTAGGAACAAAGGCTTTTTTTTTTTGGCTGGGGCTGGGTTTGAACCCGCCACCTCTGCATATGGAGCTGGAGCTCTACCCTTTTGAGCCATAGGCACCGGCCAGAACAAAGGCTTCTTCCCTTCTTAACTGCTTACCTCTTTAACCTTTTCAATCTCCTCCTACTGGCTCTTTCTCTCTGGCCCAGTCCTCTCACCACTGTCTACTAACTCTTCCCTAGTGAACCCCATCATCTATATTCTGATGACCCTCAAGTTTATTTCTCCAGCCCCAGTCTTTTCTCCTGACTTTGATCTTATAACTATTTAACATTTCTGCCTGTATGTCTAATGAAGACCACCAAACTTAACATGTCCAAAATTAAAATTCTGATCATTCCCTCAAACTCTGTTCTATTTTTCTCACTTCCCACCTAACTCAGTTGATGGTAACTTCATCTCCCAGTTTCTTAAGCCAAAATGATTAGACTCATCCCTAACTCCCCTATTCTCTATATTATCCATACCAAATGCATTGAAAATTCTTTAGCCTTACCTTCAAAATAGACCTAAAATCAAGTCCTTTCTCGCCACTTATACTACTAACCACTGGGATCCTAACCATCAATATCTTTTGCTGTAAATTGACAGTCTCCAAACTGTTCCATCTTCCATTTTTGCCTCCCTATGGTACACTCCACTCAAAACAGCCAAATAAAAAAACAAACCAAAAAAACACCAAACCTCTAAATCAGAGCACATCCTTTCCTGCAATTGTCCCCGTACCATAGATACTTAGCCAACTTCATCTTCTGTCACTCTCCTCTCAGCCACACTGGCTTCCTTGCTGATTCTCTAGTATGTCAGGCTTGTTCCTACATTAAGACTTCTGGAATGCTCTTCTCCATATTAACCTGGCTAACATCCTTACCCTGTCTTTGTTTAAACATCATGACCTATGTAGAAATGCAACCTCTAAATCCCTTTAACTTGTTCTATTTTTTTTTTCCTGTTAGTATCTCTCTCTAATTGACCCTTGAGCAACGTGGGTTCTAAATATGCAGGTTTATTTATATACAGATTTCTCTCAGTAAATCTCTCCTGTCTCCCCTTCTAAAGTCTCCACTTCTTCCACCCTTCCTCTTCCGTTTCTTCCTTAGCCTACCCAAAGTGAAGACAACAAGGATCAATACCTTTCATCCTCATGATGGTCTACTTTGATTTAATAAATAATTAATATATTTTCTCCTCCTTTCTTAAGAACATGTTATTTTCTTTAGCTTACTCTATTATGAAAGTACAACATACAATATATACAACATACTAAATGTGTATTGACTATGTTATCTGTCAGGCTGAAGGTCAAAAATAGGCTATTAAGTATTTGAGGGTTAGTTAAGACTGCACTGGAGCTGGGGGGGAGGGGTGGGTTGCCTTAACCTCTGTGTTGCTCAAGGGTCAACTGTATTATTAACAAACCATTTAATTAACCCACTTCACTAAAATAGCAATTAACTCAGTAATTTAAAAACTTATTTTGTCTATTTTCCCCTAGTAGAAGGATTTTACTTTGTTTACTGATAGAGTACTTAGAATAATGACTAGCATGTAGTATGTGCTCAATAAACAGGATCTAGATTCTAGAAGAAAACAATTATTTTACTCCCTTTATCCATAGTAAAATAAGAATATTTGATGTAACATTACATAACAGAAACACACATATGCATAGTCCATCTAAAAACTTACCTCTACAATCTTCTCTCTGTTTTTGGTTGGGTTCATAGGGGGTTCTGTGAGTAAGATTTTACAATTTCTGGTATCTATGTTAAGTTTCTCTGGTCCAAAAGTATAGTCCCACAGGTGTTTCATGTCATCCCAATTTCGTACTATGCCATTTTCCATAGGGTAGTTAACTTCTAACATTGAGCGTAATTCACTTGCCTCATCACCAACCATAAGGTCCTAGAAAATTATATCAAAGTTTTAGACCAATTTTTTGCATAAAATTATATTTCCATGATATTTAAGAAAACTCGGAATAATTAATTTTAATTTTCTGCCACTTTCAGATAGTGTTTTATTCCACAAATTAAAAACCTTTTCTATCAAAAACAATGTCCTACAAAGTTTAAAAATGGATAATAAATGTTTATGTCAATGTGCTTTAAATCGATAAACTGACCTTACCTTTAATACATGTTTCCAAAAGAAGAGCATAAGCACAAATAAACCCCACATTTTCATATTTTGGAGGGTTTTATATGAGGTTTCATCTGTTTCTTTTGCTCAAATGTTCAAAAAATAATGCCTGTGATATGTGAAATAGCACATCAGGGGAAAAAAACTTGCAGAAAAATGCTCAATGCATGCAGCATTCTCATTTCTTTGTACTAAATATCAAAATGATAAATATAAGGACTATAAAACATAATGACAGAAGCAAAAAAGACTGCTTTATTACTCTATTTTATATACATATGCACCAACTAAGTTACAAATTTCAGAAATTTCTGCCTACATATATACGGAAGCAGAATAAATTAAATTTCTACATATGTCTCACCAAGATGAATGAGAATTCATGGAAATAAAACAAGACACAGAGAAGCAATTCATTCTTTAATAGTATCTCATGAGCAACATTTTTAAACTTAAAGTGTAATTTTGGAAAACTATGCTATCACACATGAAGCGTAATACTCACAAGTCTTGTCTCCAATGACAGCATACTTAAGATGACCCACATTTGAAAAGTCACACTTTAAGGCTATGATGTTTTAGAACTTAAACTTATTTTATTGCCAAAAGGGGGTAAGAGGAAGGGAGGGAAGAAAGAAGGAAGGAAAAGAAAAAGAGATGAAAGACGGGAGGGAGGCAGAAAGGAAGGAATCTTATTTTCGAAAACAGCTCAATTTTAAAACCTAGTACCAGAAAAAGCCATATGCTACTTAGGCTTGTTACTTAAGGTTAAAGTATGGGGAAATTAAGAAAAAAGCAGCAAAAATTAACGAGATATCTTAAAACTGAGGCTTAAAAACATATATACATTGAGTTTTTTGGTTTATTTTTGAGACAGAGTCATGCTCTGTTGCCCAAGCAGGAGTAAACTGGCATGAGCAGAGCTCATTCCAACCTCAAACTCCTGGGCTCAAGAGGCCCTCCTGCCTCTGCCTCCCCAAATGCTAGAATTAGAGGTGTGAGCCATTTTGCCCAGCTGAGTTTCAAACTTTTAAAAAATAAAAATTAAAACCAACAAAAAAAAGATCAGAGGCAAAACTGGAGTTGTGGACCCTATTAAAAAAGAAAGAGAGGGTGGCACCTGTAGCTCAGTGTGTAGAGCACTGGCCCCGGCCACACTGCAAGAAAACAAAACAAAAAAGCCAGGCGTTGTGGTGGGCGTCTATAGTCCCAGCTACTAGGGAGGCTGAGGCAAGAGAATAGCCTAAGCCCAGGAGTTGGAGGTTACTGTGAGCTGTGAGGCATGGTACTCTACCAAGGGTGATAAAGTAAGACTCTGTCGCTTAAAAAAAAGAAAAAGAAACAGATTTCTCGATAATCCACCGAGAGCAACGCAAAAAAGGAAAACAAAGTAAAGCAGATGCTAGAAATGCTCACTAAAATTTTGATGTGACTAATCTCTTATAAAGTTAATTTACCACAACTTATTACTCAAATTTCTTAAATATTTAACTGTTTAGGATCTTCTATGAGGAATATGCAAAAATCTGATTTGTAAACTCTAGAATGACATAAACATTTTTAAATAATCAGGGAGAAGTATACTGATACATGCAATTTACTTGGAAACACATTACAAAACAAGATGCACTGAGAGAGGGATAACAGATATGTGATAAACCAGTATAATGTGTATTAATGTCAGAACCTAGGTGATAGGTATATAGGTTTCACTGCAAAATTCTTTCAACATTGTTATGTATTTTAAACCTAACAAAATGTGAAGTGAAAAACCTACAACTCCAAGAATTTATGCTACTTTTGGTCTTTTTTTTAAGACAGAGCCTCAAGCTGTTCCCCTGGGTAGAGTGCTGTGGCATCACAGCTCACAGCAACCTCCAACTCCTGGGCTTAAGCGAGTCTCCTGCCTCCACCTCCCAAGTACCTGGGACCACAGGTGCCCGCCACAACGCCTGGCTATATTTTTTAGTTGCAGCCATCACTGCTGTTTGGCGGCCTGGGCTGGATTCAAACCCGCCACCTTAGGTGTATGTGGCTGGCGCCTTAGCCACTTGAGCCACAGGCGCCGAGCCGCTACTTTTGGTCATTAACAAATCTAACTTAATACCTGACTTTGTTAATTACTTTCTTTTATATCTTAGTGTTGCTCAGGAAAACAGATGAGATAATTAGAAGGTTTATACAATCAATATTATTTCAACCAATTTTTTCAAAAGATTATTTACTTTTCATTCCCTATAAGAATAGGGGCTTTATCTGACCCAATGCCATCTCAAAATAAAAGCCTCATGTGTCTACTTCTAGGATCCCACATACTCTAAAGAGTAAATGAAAAGAAGTCTGGCACTGAGTATTCTTATCTTTTAAATGTCTTTAAATAGGACACTTAAAAGTATTAACTTATCTGAAAAGCACAAAATTTCTTGAGTACTGAAGCTTTTAATAATTTACTACACCTAAAATTTTAATCAAAAAATCCTATGATCTATAATCTTCCCTAGTTTCAACTCTCAAAGCCCCAAAATGCTCAGATACTTGCCCTCATCACTCAGATACAAATTATAAGCAATAATCAGGCCTTAAGTTTTTTTTTTTTTTTTTTTTGAGAGAGTTTCACCTTGTTGCCCCCAGTAGAGTGCCCAGCACACAGCAACCTCAAACTCTTGGGCTTAAGTGATTCTCTTACCTCAGCCTCCCAAGTAGCTGAGACTGTAGGTGCCCACCACAACGCCTGGCTATTTTTTTGGTTATAGTTGTCATTGTTGTTTAAGCTGGCAGGGGCCAGGTTGGAACCTGCCACCCTGAGTGTATGTGGCTGGTGCCTTAACCACTACGGGTGCCAAGCCTAGGCCTTAGGTTTTTACCACCTGCTCCCTCCCCCCTTCTGGACCTCAAGCCTAAACCACCAGAATGAAAAATAACAGTAACCACCTGAAATGCTGTTTCAAAGGCACTTATACTTTATGCCTTTTACAAATAGTGGGTAAGATAGATAGGTAACACAGATAAATTTGCCAAGAATCATTTTGAACAATGTCACCTCAAGTTAGAAAATAGAGCAAACACAAATGTAAAACCACAACTAAATCCCTAGAAGGAAATTCCACCAAAAAATGTTGTTGGGCGGCACCTGTGGCTCAAAGGAGTAAGTACCAGCCCCATATACTGGAGGCGGTGTGTTCAAAACCAGCCCCAGCCAAAAACTGCAAAAAAAAAAAAAGTTGTTAAATTAAGCCCACACTCTTCTCTCAATGTACGCCCTTTTCATAATTTCCTTAAGATAATAAAACAAATGTATGATCTTTTATTTAGAATACAAGTATTTGGATGTTTTTGTTTATTCAAAAGAAGACTTTGCAAAGTTACTGTCACTAGTTAAAATATATCACATCATTAGAAATGCTTGACATTTATTTTTGTCAGAGCTTTTTTTTCCTTTTTTTTTTTGAGGCAGAGTCTTTCTGTGATACCCTTGGTAGAGTACAACCTCAAACTGTTGGGCTCAAGTGATCCTCTTGCCTCAGTGTCTGGGGTAGCTAGGATTCTAAGCACCGCCACACTGCCAGCCTAGTTTTAGGATGGGGTCTTGCCCTTGTTCAGGCTGGTCTCAAACCTGGGAGCTCAAGCAATCCACCCATGTTGGCTGGGATTAAAGGCATGAGCTAATACGTCCAGCCTCTGTCAGTGCTTCTTACAAACAATACTAAAAATAAACTTGAAAATACCTTC